GGGCAGTCTTTGAGGATTCAAATGCCCAAACCATTTCCAATTAGCATTCTGCCTCCTACTTGTGGATAGAGATATAAGCTCTCAGCTACTTCCTCAGCCTGAGCCTGCGTTCCCACCTGCCATGCTTCCCACCTGATGGACTCTGACCTTCTGGAACCATGAACTCATAAATGCTTTCTTTTGTAAGTTTTCTTGGTAATGGTGTCTCTTCACAGCATTAGAAAAGTGACTAAGACACATAACTGTTTTCTGTTTTTGTTTTTGTTTTTTTAAGTCCTGAGCTGGATTACATCATGCCCAGTTTAAATTCTTTTTCTTTTTTTTTTTTTAATTAAAAAAAAATTATTTTATGTATGTACATGTGTACCTGAGTGTGTGTATTTAAGTTCACTACATGTGTGCAGTGCCTACAGGGGCCAGAAGAGGGCATCATAGCCCCTGGAACTGGAGTTATGGGGGTTGTGAGCTGTCAGATGTGTGTGCTGGGAATTTAACTCTGTTCCCTGCAAGAGTAGTAAGTACTCTTAACTACTAAAAAGTCTTTCCAGCCTCAAATCCTTTCTTTATTTTTTTATTTTTTATTTTCTTGGTTTTTCAAGACAGGGTTTCTCTGTGTAGTTTTGGTGCCTATCCTGGATCTCGCTCTGTAGACCAGGCTGGGTGAACTCACAGAGATCTGACTGGCTCTGCCTCCTGAGTTCTGGAATTAAAGACATGAACCACCACTGCCCGGCAAATCCTTTCTTTTTTAAAGTTGATGTTTACTGAACCTCACAAGTTTTGATGTTTTGTTTTTGTTTCCATTAGCTTATAGGATTTCCTATTTCCCTTGAACTTTCTTTTTCTTTTTGTATTTCAATGCAGGATTTCTCTGTGTAGTCCTGGCTGTCCTGGAACTCTGTAGACTAGCCTGGCCTTGAACTCAGAGGTCCACCTGCTTCTGCCTCCCAAGTGCTAGGATTAAAGGCATGTGCTAGGAATGTGTATTCTTTTGTTGAAGTGTTGTTTAGTAACCATTAGATCTAGTTGGTTTATATGAATTATATCAAATCCTGGGAGATTGTAATATACGTTCTCTTTATGACCTTTATTTCTTGAATAGCGCTAGAATATTTCAGTGATAAAAGACCACAGTTGTTTCTGATAGTTTTAAGTTTAAGTGGAAGGGTTTGGGAAACTGAATGATTTGCAGGTGTTCATTGGCCTAAAACCCATCATCAGTAAGATGAGGACAGAGGAAGAGGTGACAAATGATAGAACCAAGGATTCTCTTTTAAGATGATAATAATTCCTTTCTTTACAAAGAAAAACAGGTGGTTTTTTTTCCCTTCATAGTTTTTGAATTATTTTAATGCTGTTTAATGTAATACATTAAGTCATATTTATGTTTTCTGAACTTTTAGGGTTTTTGTTTTTGGTGATGGGGATGAAATTCCAAGCTTAAACATGATGAACATGCACTCTAATTATGATTTCCATCCCAGGCTTATTTTTCATGATTTGAATTTAGGACATTGGGAGTTAATATGCCCCTTAGGCTCTAAATAGCTTGGTATTTTGGCAGTACCATAATTCAAGAAGCCTAACTGACTTGATTGTCAATACAATAACATCTGTTAATTTGTCCAAATGTGCTAAAGGATGTTTTCTTTGGTTTTATCCTTCAAATGCTTTTGATATTCATTACAGGAAGATTCAAACAATTTATACCGTTCTATAGAGTGCTAGGCACTAGGGAAACTAGATAAACTACAACAGTATATCTTTTTTCTTTCTTTTCTTTTCTTTCTTTCTTTCTTTTTTTTTTTAAAGATTTATTTATTCATTATGTATACAGCATGTATGACCAGAAGAGGGCACCAGACCTTATTACAGGTGGTTGTGAGCCACCATGTGGTTTCTGGGAATTGAACTCAGGACCTTTGGAAGAGCAGTCAGTGCTCTTAACCTCTAAGCCATTTCTCCAGCCCCCATCTCTTTTTTTTTTAAATGACTTTTTAAGACAGGGTTTCTCTGTGTAGCCCTGGCTGTCCTGGAACTCCCTCTGTAGACCAGGCTGTTCTCAAAATCATAAAGATCCACCTGCCTCTGCCTCCTGAGTGCTGGGATTAAAGGTGTGCGCCACCACTGCCCGACTTCACAACAGTATTTCTGTGTACTGCAGTAGGTTATATATTAACTCCACTAGACTATTATACACATAAGAAACAACAAGCCATTAGGGCAGTGGCTCAGAGGGGTAAATAGCACTTACTGCCAAGCTTGACACTTTAAGATTAATCTCTGGAACCCACACAGTAGGAGGGAACTGACTCCCATAAATTGTACTCTAACCTCCACACATATGCCATAACATACATGTGCACTAGAACTCAAGAGCATGTGCGCGCGCGCGCGCGCACACACACACACACACAGGGAGGGAGGGAAAGAGGGAGGGAGGGAGAGGGAGAGAGAGAGAGAGACAGAGAGAGAGAGAGGAGAGAGAGAGAGAAAGAAATGTAAAATATCTTGTATTTAAAAAGAAACGACTTGTGGTTACTCATACCTCTAATTGCAGCACTTGGGAGGCAGAGGTAGGTAGATCTCTGAGTTCAAGGCCAGCCTGGTCTACGGAGTGAGTTTGAAGCCCCTTGGGTCTACAAAGCAAGTTCCAGGGCAGCCAGAACTGTTACACAGAGAAACTCTCTCTCAAAAAAACCAAAAAAAAAAAAAAAAAAAAAAAAAAAAAGACAGAAGGAAAAAAAAAAAAAGAAACAACTTGTCTCTTCTCTTATTCTCCAACTAAGATCCTACTGTCATGATGGGTTGCTGCCCCACCCGGTATACTGGTATTGTAAGAACAAGCTGTAGTCAGGTGGTGGTGGGGCACGACTTTAATCCTAGCACTCAGAAGGCAGAGGCAGGTGAATCTGAGTTCAAAGACAGCCTGGTCTACAGAACGAGTTCCAGGACAGCCAGGGATACACAGGGAAACCCTGTCTCGAAAAACCAAAAACAACAACAAAACACACACACACAACAAAACAACAAGCTGTACCCAAAGTTTGACTTCTATGAAAGTGTCCTTGATGCTAAGATCTGCATCTTTAACTTGAGGCAGAAGAAGTCAAAAGTTGGCGAATTCCCATTTTCTGGCCATGTGTCAGATGAGCAACTCTCTTCTCAGGCCCTGGAGGCTGCTGGTATTTGTGCCAACAAATACATGGTAAAGAGTTGTGGCAAGGATGACTTTCATCTTCCAGTGAGGCTCCACACTTTCTGTGTCATCTAAATCAACTAGATGTTATTCTCCTGTGCTGGGGCTGATAGACTCTGGACAGGTATGTGTAGTGCCTTTGTGAAGCCCCAGGGCACAGTGACCAGGGGTTCACATTGATCAGGTCATCATGTCCATTCATACCAAGCTGCAAAATAAGGAACATGTGATTGAGGATCTGAGTAGAGCTAGGTTCAAGTTCCTTGGCTGCCAGAAGATCCACATCCCACAAAAGTGGGGTTTCAAGCTTAATGCAGATGAGTTTGAAGACCTGGTTGCTGAGAAGCAGTTCATTCCTGATGTCTGTGGGGTCAAATACAACCCCATTTGTGGTCCCCTGGACAAGTGGTGAGCCCTTCCTTCCTGGGAGCCCTCATGTTCAGTAATAAATCTCACATTTAGTCTGAAAAAAAAAAAAAAACATTTCAAATACTTAGAATCTCTATCTCTCTGTCCATTATTGTTTGTGAATGTTTTGCCTGTGTATATGTATGTATGTACACTGTGTGCATGTTTGGTGCCTGGGAAGGCCAAAAGAGGGTGCCAGATCCCCTGAGCTGAAGTTAAGAATATTTGTGAAACGTTATGTGGGAACCTTGGACCTCTGTAAGAGCAGCAAGTGTTCTTAACCACAGAGCCTTCTCTTCAGTCCCAAGAATGTATGGGTTTACTGATTATCTTAAACAATAAGTGTTTTCCTGATCGCATTGACTTCTGTTTTCTTTTTTGAGATAGGGTTTCTTTGTGTAACCTTGGCTGTCCTGGTGCTCGAACTCAGAGATCTGCCTGCTTCTGTCTCCAAGTGCTGGGATTAAAGGTGTGCACCACCACCACCACCACCACCACCACCACCACCAC